CGTATACTCAATTATACCGTAGTTGACCTAAAAATTTATGTTTCTTCTTTTTGCCACTGTTTTCCCAGGCTTCCAGCTTTGGGTGATTCTGGTCTGGCTTTCTGGCCTTCATTGGTGACAGTTTCATTTACTAACTAAAATTCCATGTTTCTGCTAACTAGTGAAGTATTTTTTTCAGGTACAACCTACTGCGTAGGAAATTTCCAGCTACATCTTTTACTGGGTCACCCGTACTTTCTGATGCTGGATTTGACCTGTTGAACAAGCTTCTAACTTATGACCCTGATAAGGTATTTCATACCTATCAAATCCAAATCTTTAGATAATTGAATACCCTTTCTCAACAATTGTAACTTTGCAGCGGATAACTGCTGAAGTAGCTCTGAACCATGAATGGTTCCGTGAAGTTCCACTTCCCAAGTCAAAGGAGTTCATGCCTACTTTTCCGGCTCAACATGCACAAGACAGGTATACGTGTCCTGTCAGTATGAGTGTCATGTAAATTCTGTGAGTTGTTGATGTTAATTTTGTTTGTTTTGATGGATTTTCAGGCGTATGCGTAGAGTAATAAAGAGTCCTGATCCCTTGGAAGAGCAGCGAAGGAAGGAGTTGCAACAAGGAGAACTTGGCACTGGTGGTTTGTTTGGCCAATAACTTCTGAATTTTTGTTCTTTGGTATTTTGTAATATCTCAGACATACATGGTTAAGGTGAGAGCTATGGATTGGGAGGAAGTTGGTGGTTTGTGAGACGATTGCTCGTGCTGTTATTTAGCAAGCACACCTGATGAATTATATGGACACGATTCTCTTGTCTTTGCACATGTGAATTGCATATCGTGCAGGTTGACTCGTCTTCTTGGTCTCTGCTGTCCTAGGGTAATCCCTCTTTGGTACTGCTTTCAAGCAAGGTGTGGCATAAGGCACTTCAAGTATTGGACTGTTTCTGTTCGAACTCGTGTATGTAACGTATTTTATAATTGGTCACTGTAAACAATTTTCTTAAAATTGTTTAAATACCAGAACAGTACGGTTTACTTTGGAACCCTCGGTGCTATCAATTTTAATTCTCATATTGTGTTTGCAAGAGATGGTGATGTAAAGCGGGGAAGGGGCAAATTTAGCCTTTCATGTCGGAAGAATTTGACAGAAAGAATTGCACTCTGAAGGTAATCAACAAATCTGAACACGTGGATGTAGGGAAGAATCGGGAATTTGCTCTGTCTACATTGAACTGCTATGCCATTAGATCTTGCCTGGGGACTTTAGTTCTATAGGTTACAAATGCGTTTTTGCTTTTTTTTTTTTTATTGACCATATGGTCATGCAATATCTCAATACTCTGGAGCAGCAATATGTTCTATTGTTATGCAAAAATGCTGGTCAGCGCCATGTGGTTTTTGTTTATTGATCTTTCATGTATTTGTTGTAAACCATAGCCATAGCATTTGGAAATGGAGCCTTAATCAATGCATTAATCCTGATGGATTTTTTTTCTTTTTTGCTATACAATAAATCTTTTAAAGTTCATATTGATCCTTTCGAAACTTGAATGGTACCCGGAGTGCAAGATGCAGCAGTAACATCTGATGAGATATTTTATTTCAGTGCTTCCAGCTGTTAGTGACTGCTTTTCCCATTTGTTGCTATTCTTAACGAGTATATCTGTTGAGAACCGTATGATTGAGTTACAGTGAAGGCAATTTAGAAGGATAGGTTTATCCGGTTTTGTCATGACTAATCAATGGATCACGATAAGGGCCAATCATTTGTGTTTGTTCAAGAGTGGCATCTCTCTTTTATGTTGAGGACTGTTGTTTAGAATTATTAATTTTTAACTTAACAAAGGTACTATCTTATTTTCATCTATATAATTGCTAAGACAAAAAATTGGAGCTTCTGCTCCAATCAAATTAACTATCATTTGAAGTTGGTTGGCTGATATTAGTAGTTAGTTACCATGATATCTCCTTTTTACGCAAGCTAAATGATATGTAATTTGTTTCTTAGTTTAGCCATGGTCTTTTATCTCAGCACCATGACCCAAAATTTGTTTTTCAGCTTTAATAGCATAAACAAGATTTGAGCTTTTCGGTAGATTTGAGCTTCTCTGACATCCATCTGAAATGTACCTGCAGTACCATAGCAAGCAGGTTGAGGAGCTAGTTTGCACATCCTGGCACATATAGAAACCCCATTTGTTTTCCATTCTACTGATGTTAATTTTTGTCTCAAGCTCAAGAGAGGTACACTACACCTATTTGTTACAACTTCAATGCTCTATTTGTTTCTTCATATGTTTTGCTAGATTGGTTTTAGTAATATTCCTGGATTGTCTTACAGGAAATTATCAGACCTTTGATGCCTGTTTGTCAGATAGATTGTACCTTCTATTGAAATTTATACTTTTTAAGCATAATTGACTGGTGAAAGCCTAAAAAATGTTACGATACTTAATTCACATTTCTTTATTTTTTTGTCCTTTTTGTCCCTTTTAAAAGCATTTTGCTTTTAGGCTAACCAAGTGTAAAGGTATAGGTAATGCTATTCATGACGGCCTCCATTGAGGTACCTCATTATGCCAATTTGTATTAAATTGTATCTTTTCGATAAATATAAGTTCTCATTTTGTTATATTGATGTTTCTCGTAATAAATTTTTATGCTTTTAATCTCTTCTGCTTTTTTGCAATGGTGAAAAGCATCTAAATTATCTAATCTTGTTTTTCATCTTCGGTCATTATATATATCATAGTTCTGACAAATCAAGTTTTATGGATATCAAGCTTTTGGGCAATGATAATAGAGCTGTTAATCCCTTGATTTATGACATTGTAATTAGACTTGTCAGTTTAATACGCATTCCTGATTGACTCCTATGCTTTTTGTTGGATGACCATCCTTTAGGTTTTATGGATCACAAACTGATCCCGCCTACCAATATTGTAGGCGTAGTCTCATGGATCATATTGGTGATTACTAGGTCTAATGACTATAGTAAAGTTACAGAATCAGCTACTCAAGTCATGGGTGTTGGTGCTAAGCTCTGAGGCCAGGATTTGATGTTTAGTGATCCATAACCTGATAAGGATGTTTTATGTTAATTGATCGGAAGAGTAGTTGCTTGTCGGGAATTGTAGTTGGGAATAAATTATTCTGTTTTCTGATCTTGGTCCATCTTGACTGTCAATATGATTCGTAGGATCTCTACTTTAAGAATTTTGACTACCTACCATTTGATACTACGGTCTCATTTTAGGAAGATTGCTGTTGTCTCTAGCTGTAGTTGTTCCCTTTTTTGATTCGTTGTAAGGTTCTATTATTGAGGATTTCCAGATGGGTGATGTTTAAGAAGTCTGACACACAAGAATGCTGTTTCTGGGCTTGTGATAGTCTGGGCTTTCTTCTCCTTGATGATGTGTACACAAAAGGGCACAAAGTTTTGATTGAATCTACAATTTGAAATTTGCTGGGGAATATTTGCTGGATGACGCAAGGACTAGTTCATGGATCTGATCTTATATGCAATATCTTTAGATATTACTGTAAATAAAAAGGTAGGTTTTCAATGCAAGTTCTAAAAACATATCGTAGTAAACTAGTAATTGATGATTTAGAACCTGGCCATAATCACTGATTGGGAATTCATTTATAGGTTCTAGATGATTCTTTTTCCTGTATTCTTTTAGATATCAACACTGCAGTGTACATAAGAGCTGCTGTAATACACAATGCTATGTTTTTATACTACTGATCAATTTGTGGATTTCTTTCTTGGATCAACACCCTTGCATCTTGGCGTCGCAAAACAATGCTATCGATGTTGAGAACTGTGCAGGCTAGAGAAAGTAATCTGAACTTCGAGAGAAGCTTTTGTGCTGCGGCAATAAAGAACTATCTGCAACCTACTAGGCCAAAATTGTAGGGCAGACCCCAGCTCGGAGAGATTTAAATCAGAAGTGGCCTAAAGAGCTAGTGCGAGAGATAACTAACTCAATTTCCCAAGGAAACAAGAGCAGGAGATGGTCCATCATAATGTATATATAAATTTTATTTTTCTCCTTTTAAAGCAACAGTCTGTTATAGCTTTTCAAGCCTGACGAATGAGAGGTAATGGTCGAATTTCTATTTATTTCTAGTGAAAATATAATGATGGGTAGGATTTCTTCCATCTACGTTATGATCAAAGGGCTACAAATTATTGTCTGATGGTAATGATAGTACTTGAATTACGGCTCAGACCGAAAATGCTATTGAAAGATTACCAAGACAAGATGGATTGTCAAGAATGTAGATGAGATATTGAAATGAAATTTACTCCAAATCAGACTATTTTCATTTTGCCATCTCAAGGGAATGGTGATTCACACCTCCACATGTTTTAGAACGTAAAAAATGAAGAGTTGAGATGTTTTGGGAATTGGCCTGGAAAATAGCACAAGCCTAAGGCAACGCTGGAATTTCACTATAAAAGTATTTAGGAAAATGTTATTTGTACATCGAGGTTGACACTCTAGTGTACAGACCCCACGATCGATAAAAAAAATCGTGGGGCCTCTCTCTTGTGAGGGGGTCTGTACACTGGGGGTGTCGTACAAATAGCATGGTCCAAGTATTAAATGGTAAATAAGTATTTGTTGTGTGAATGGATTTTACCTTTTAAAGATGTAGCCATTACTCTTGGATGTATTTGGTGAGAGCTCGATTCATCAAAGCAAATCTCTAAATTTTTACCTTGATTCTGATCAATAGCAATTTTAGTGCGAATTAGGCAATGCATGTGTCAATTTTCTTAATTTAGGAGTATTTATTTATGCATTAACAGAACAGAAAATTAAACTAATTACAATGTTAAATTTCTATTGTGGGATATATAACACAATTTATACTGATTTCCCACAAATCCATTCTACAGATGAAGTTGATGTACCGATAATTGGGGATTGCATGCTCTGACTGGAATAACAACTCAATCTACACAATCTTTTACAGATAAAAGCCTCTCAGATAGAGATGCTGTTCGGAATACCTCGACCGGTGACCCCAGGAGCAGAAGAGGGTAAAAGCAGTTCATAAGGAGGGACACCGGCACCATTTCGATTTTTCAGCTTTATATTCTTATTTCTTCGATGGATAATTAGCTCAATCTCTTCTAACTTGGTGGAGAATCTTTGAAATAGTTCTTGAACTTCAGGATCATTAAATGAAAGTCTCTGAATATCGTGCAACTGGTTTATGTACTCTTCGTCTGCAGAATGGGTTGACAAGGTGTCTTGAACGGCCATAACTTTAGTTGCTTGGAGTTGAGTAGGCAAAGAGGTCAAAAAAGTATACTCGGGGTTGAGAAGAAACTTATCATAGTCGGGATCACCTTCCTGAGGGATTAATTTCCGCATGAGGGTAGGACGGTTGGGTGGATACCCTCCAAATGGATATTGTCCAAAGTTTATAGCAGCATGTTGACCCGAAGCAACCCAAATCATCGTCGTAAGTATGCCCGATAAGTCCTCTTTAGTTGCAAGGTTAGGCCACCATGGCTCATTTCTTTTGTCGTGGTGTCCCTTGTTCTTGATCTCGTCCCACCAAGATTGGAGCTCGACATCATACTTGATGGAATTAGGCTGAGAATAGTAGTGGTCGACGTAGGATGATACTAATTCTTTTATGGCCGACCATATGAGAAGACCATCTGCTGCGTAAGGGTAGTCTTCGATCACAAGTTTCACGCCACTGGGCATTGATGGATCCTCAACCGCCATACCCCTGCAAAGCTCATCGAAAGTTAAATGTTAGTTAATTAGAATGAAGGAACAATCAGAGGAAAGCAAGACAGTGTCATATATATTCTTCCTTGCAGCCCTCTTTAATCTAACAGAAAATGGTGCCCCGGGGTTTCCTTTTATATAGCGTAGAGAACTAGGGCGACGTAATACCAAAATATGAATGCCCGTCTAAAAATATCGCCACATGCTATAGTAGAGGGAGAATTAGGTCGACCGGCAATCGAGGGGATAAGTGAACAGAATAATTAGGCTCTTCAGGGGCAGAAGCATTTTGGTACGCCAAGATTGAAATTCAAGTAGAATGATTTAGGTTCACGAGATACTTTACCTTCGAATCAAATCTGCTGGCAATGCTTCCATATCAAATCTCCACATACTCTTGTAGGCTGCAGAACTTATTTCCATAGCATACTTACCTGGGCTGAAACACGCTTCAATAATTCCACCTCCGTTTATTAAACTTTGTCTCGCAAGGGCATTGATTTCCATAGTATAGCGCATATGGGGATGAAGCAGCTTATGTACAGGGTGCATTGAGCTAAGTTGTCTATGGGTAGCAATTATATAAGGTTCCATACTGGCATGAGTTCTCAACCTGAAATCGCACATTTCAAGATATTAGAGAAGCGCACGTCTTCTTTCACAAAAACCAGCAAAAAGCTTTAAAGAACATAATTATGTGAATGCAAATTTCTCCATTAGTTCATCTACACAGTAAAAAAGTGTTATGGGTTGAATCTTAATCCCCAACTCCGAGAGCAGTGATATACAAAATGAATCAGAAACAATCAAGCAAACACACGGATTCATAGTGGTTCAGCATCAATGTGAAGACCTACATCCACTTGCATCTGAGAATTTCTCTAAGGAGAATATTTTCACATACCTCTCTACCTTGTCCACCCACCCTACCCCCGCTCTTAAAATCCTTTATATGTGGCAGGAATATAGGTTGATTCATAGTCAAAAGGCAAAGTGTACAGTTCGATTAGGCTCCCGTGGTCCAACAAAAATGATTGCCATGTTGCTCAAATAACAAGCAAACATTCCAAAAACTGATATTACAAAGGATAATTTCAGCCATACCAGTGGTTCACAAGTTGATGGACGCCTGCATCATTGGAGCAAACGTGCGCTTTTGCTAGCTTCCAAATCCAGTAAGTTGTAGCATGATCCCCATGAGTAAAGATACGCTTGTTGCTCGGTGATGAAGGTGTAGGAGGAAGTGAAAGTTCAATGACAATTGGCCTGAGAATGCCAGTATTTGTATAATACAATACTGTTCTGGATGCATAAGCTTTTCGCCCAGGCAAGGAGTTCATTTTCTCCATAAATGGCAAAAGCATGTCATGATAGTCGAGTATAAACAACCTTTTGTCCTTTATAGCCTGTATAGAATGGGAAACCAGATGTGAAATTTATGGTCGTAAACATTTCAAAGAGAAAAAAAAAACATTTAAAAGATGGAAAAACACAACATAAATGACTTTTATTTTCCGAGAGAGAGAGAGAGCTCCAAGGAATCAGAAGTTTGTGTTGGAAAAAACTGAGTTGGTAGGCTGGTTTTGGCACTAATTTTGAGCGGGACCCGGTTGACTATTTTGAAAGATGGAAGTTGATTTGTGTTTTCCTCCGTGAGTACATCGAAATCATATGCTTACTTGTCAAAAATGATGCTCGGGTGAATGAGAAACTGAAGCTCAAAGTATGCTATGTGAAAAGAGTTTGTTGGTGGGAAAACCAAAAAAGTTAAGGTTTGTCCCACATAGGAAGTGGATGAAAACTAAAACCACTTTATAAAGGATTACACTTTAGAGTGGTGTAATCATGTGTAGCATAGAGGCTCTCTCCACGTACGCGCGCAGGGGGTGCAAATATTGGACCGAAATAGGTTTCGGACCTTGAACTTGTGTGCGTGCACGAATGTCGGACCGAAAGGAGCAAAATTGGCCCCTTAGGAGTGTCTACGTTTTGCTACATTTTTGTTAATATTCATCTGCACACAGTTCCTGTTTCTCTACATTTTTCGTTCCTGTTCGAGCCGGTGGTGATATATTTCAGACACAAAGTCAGTTCGCCGGAGTAGAGTCTGTTGTGCTCGAATTTTACTGATTCCTCCGTTGTATCCTGGGAAGCAGACAATCGTACTATCTTCAAGCACGTACGGTGAGGGGACGAATCTGTTTTAAGGAAACTGTGTTTGAAATAGGCCTCGGGTTAAAAGTGTTATACTGTTTTAATTGTTCTTACTCGATTTGCATATTTATTTTTTGTAATTATTTAAATTACTTATTTTTTTGCTGCAATCAACAAATCGTTGGATTTGTTATATGTACAGTTTATTATACGGTATCCAGTCTGTAAATCTGGTATTCGATATTGAAATAATTATCCTACAAACTTAAAACAGA